TTTGCAACGAAAAACCGAAAAAAAAATTAATGCTAATCTAGTCTGACTAGTATACGTTCTAATTGTAACTGCAAAAATTAGCTCAAAAGTTTTTTAACTAACTACAATGAATAACTAACTGGTAGTAAAAAAAAGGAATGTTGAAATGATGAAGTGTAAATGAAGGATTATACAAGAGAAAGAAAAAGTTTTTTTTGTTGTTTTCTGTTTTGACGCTGTTGAATTGTGCAAAATATTTTCTGAAACTTCTTGAAAAGTCAGTTGCCAGACCAATTAAATAGCTGAAGCTTGAGAATACAATAGCCAGGATGATGAATGATAATGGAGACGACGACAACGAAAACGAACACGGTGATTTAGGTGAAAAACCACTGCCAGCATCGCTCTAATCAAACTGTTGTCATCGGCTGCTAACTGTAATTGTGAGGTAGGCACTTCAAGAAGAGATAAAAGTACGAAAAAAAGAAAATAAAAATGTGAAACAAAACTGATGGCTTTATTTTCTTACAATTTTGTGCTGAACAGTTCTCTGCAACAACACTAAAGCCTTGCAGACATCTGTTTAGCCTGTAGTTTGTTGTATTTTGATTCTGAAGCTAATTTATGACAGCAGTTAAGAGTTGCAATTTTAAATCTGCCGGTGGACATTCGATACCCTTCTCTTCACCGTGGCATCCACTTATATATTTTTGCTTTATTCCAATACACTGTTGATACCCGTTTATCAATCATCGTCTCGTTTCCAAAATAATTGAAGTACATAACTACTATATTGTAAATGGAGAGACAAGACAATAGTAAAACTAAGATCTAAATAAGGTAATCAAGACTTACAATAACAAAATAAAAGCAACAAAAAATCTGATGTTTCTTAGGTATCTTTTATTCTCAATATTTTATACGTATTATTTAACAAATAAATAGAGACCAAGTATTTAATCTATCCACTTATTGCTTTTTTTGTTGCTTTCCTTTTTTTTCATCCCTTTTTTAGCCAAAACTCATTGACTTTTCTTGTCTCATTTCTTTCGAAATATCTTTCTGCAAAAATTTTGTGCTTCAAATTTTTTTCACTGCTAATTCATTTGTTGTTTGATGTTATCATTGGTCCGAGTGTACAGTTTTGTTACTTTTTTCACCGTTGTCGCATCTTCATACATCTTCGACTATTATCTATTTTTATTTGAAAGTGTAGAGGAAAAAAAAGATAAATCAAAAGAAAAAAGATGATACACAATTAAATTTTTTTTATTACAAAAAAATTAGATTAGATTAATATGCTTTATGGTTATCTTTCGCCTATTTTTTTAGTCATAATACACTGTGACTGTCATCATATCACGATTACTAAATGAAGCTAGTTTTTTTTTCAAAGCTCTAAATTGACCTTTACAAATTGTCATCTGCTTTTTTTTCTCTAATCACCTTCTGTCTGCTTGTTTTTCTTCTTCTGCTTTTCTCTCGTTGTTGTGGTAGATGGGCAAATTTTTGAGGTCGTTGTAATTAGTGTAGTTAAAGTATATCAAAAGAAGAGGTTACTCGCAGGTAGGCTAAAAATTTTTTGGTGTTACTTTGTAAAATTTTAGCTTACTATTTTTGTACCAAAAAAGGCCATCAGAGAAAGTGCAGTCTCTTACCCCAAATTAGAATCGTTTCCAGAAGTGTTTATTTGTAAGAACTAGCTTTTTCTACGCTAGCCTTCCACTAATACAGTCGTCCTATTCAGTGATTAGTAACCGTATTTTTTTTTCGAAATCTAGTTTGTTGTTGAATACTTCCTCATACTGCTTGAAATTAAGGCAGGGCAGAGCAGAATATAGAACAACAAAAAATTATTAATAGTAATTACAGTTATATGCAGTGCCGATTTGGAGAACGATTAAAACTGGAAGTATTATTTAGTTGAAAGATTGAACTAGAAAAAAAAAATGAAGAAGCGGAACAAATTTAGTCTATGGTTTTTACTAAATACTTCTTAAGACTCTCATTGAGACGGATGTTTGCTTTTGGACTAAAGTTAATACACCAAAAAAAGAAGAAAAAAGCGAAACTTTATATAGGATAAACTACGATTAAACAGTGTGTTCAAGTTGTTTAGTCATGGAAAAAAAGCAAGGTAAATACAGTTTCAATAAAAAAATGGCAAAAATTTTTCAGGGGAGTGGGGAAGGCTTTTAAAATACCAATAGAAGATTTCCTTAACACTTAGAAAAAAGCAATAAACAGCTTTCGCTTTTTTATCTTTTTTTATTGAAAGAGAAGTGGGGAGTAGAACGAAGGCTACAGATAAAATTAGTGAATTTTCCTGATTTTTTCAAATGCCTAATACTAAATGGCCAACAAAAATTTATCTTTTTATGTTACTTATTTCTGTACAATAGCTGTCTGAAATTTTCATATAAAAAAAAGAATGTAAAAAAAGTACCAATAACTCAACAGAAAAGAAGAAAAAAGGAGAAGAATACTAGAAAAAAAAAATAACTGATAGTGCAATTGAAAAGGTTTAGACAAAAAAAAATTTTTTTTTGAGTGTATTGCCATTAAATCAAAATCACTATTATTGTATCTTTAAATTATAACTGTTATTATTTGTTGCTTTTGTCAAGGATTTGAAGATCGCTGATATGCAATCAACAAACAGATGCAACGAACAAAGAAAGTTTGGTTGGCCGACAAAGGAAGTTTCAGTTAAGTATTTTTTAGACAATAATTTCAATAGATACAGAAACCGCTATACAGAAATTAAGATAATCTGATGTCTATTTATATGACTATTACCACCTCTACAGTTAATTAAGAATTGCCGTCGAGATTATTTGTCGACTGCTGTTATTTAGAGTGTTTTGTCGGGTTTTTTTTGAGATTTTTATTCGTAAAAAAATTAAAATAAAATAATTAAACAAATAAACTAAATTGAACTGATAATCACTGATACAAAAAAAAA